GGCCACCAGAAAAGGAACCCACCCAGGGTAAAAATAAATTTTTATTTTTTTTTTCAGGGAGGCCGGGGCATACAACCCAGGAAATTCACCCTTACAGCAAACAGGAGGGTGGCCGGTTCTCCCCAAAGGGATTGGTGGGGGAAATCCCCTTTTTCTTTTTCCCCCAAGCCCCCCTGTGGGGCCCACCCATTCAGCCGGTTGTGGGTTTCCCCGAAACCCGGGCGCACCCAAAAAAAAAAATTCGTTGGATTGTTTTACGGGTTGGGTAGTATTTTTTTGGGGGCTTTGGGTGTATTATTATTGCTTTAGGGGGGAGTGATCGTGCCCCGAATTGGTAGAGGTGGGGGGGTTAGAAAGGGGGGGGGGGGGGGGCGAGCGAGCGCCGGAGGGCAGAGCACAGCGCGGCTGGGTGCTCTAAAAGGTGATGATATACGTTGAACCGTGCACATTGCTGTGTCTTACAAGAAAAAAACAAACCATCAAGGCAGGCGCGGAGACACGAGCACTAGGAAACATTATATTTTTATTTTGTCTTCATGGGCTATGTTTTTTTTTTCTTCATGGGCTCGTGACGCGCCGCCCCGCTTCCGCCGCAGCTGTCGCTGCTGTGTGTCTGTCCGTGTCGGGTGTGTCGTCTCGAAGAGGTGCTTTCGCCGCAATCCACTGGGGCCACCACACGGAGGAGACTGGAGAGAGGGAGGGAACCAGCCAACGTATTCAGGACATTCTGTTTTGGAAAAGTGCCTTGCGTCTAGAAAGGGTCGACCGCGCCTATTGGCTGATGATCCACGAAAAAACAGCGCAATCTTCTCCTGGGAAAGAAAAAAAAACGGCTTGTAATTCGCGGGGTCCCCATGTGCGTTTCTTCAATTATCATCGACTGCGCTATAACCCGGTTCACCCATCAAGAGACCCCCGTGTGTGTGAGGCTTTACAACGAGCAGGCTAATCCTCCCGGTTGAAGTTAAAAAACGGCAACGTTTGGAGATAAATGCACGGGGCTTTTCTGTGTTTGTGTCTCCCGCGTGTGACTTGATATGCAAAAACGGCAACAATTGAAGTGTCACTGCGTTTTTGACTAGACTTGCAAAAACGGCAACAATTGAAGACACACGGAGGCTTTTCTGTGCACATTGTGTGTGTATGTGTGCGACTAGACTTGCCATGACAGCCCCCAACAGCGCCAGGGCGACCCCGACGGTCTTCGTCTTGGTGAAACGCTCCGTCCGCGCCACGACGCTGAACAGGTACGTGAACAGGGCCGACGAGTTCGCGATGATGGTGCTGCTGGTGACGCTGGCAAAAAAAAACAGCGTTTTTTTTTTTTTGCAGAAATATTGACGGCAGCAAAGAAAAGGAGGGGAGGGAGAGACCCGTCGGTTGTTGATTGGCAGCAACACCACTGGAAAGGGAGGCCCGATCGGGGATCAGAGCGTAAGGCACCACCTGGGTACATATTATTATCAAGCCTGGCGACGGTGCAGACGAGCGAGGGGAGGAACGTCGGGTGTTGAGCGAATCAGGAGCGCCTGTCGGAGTATTGTACATGCAAATTGGAGGGGACACGAGAGGTCAGGGGCCCGGGTAGCCCTAGCACCTTATTCGTGGCAAGCGCAGGCGGGGCGCAAGAGACGCGCTGGTGTGACGTTACGTTTCAACCAACAGAGGTGACGTTTTAAACATGCAGGGATATTTCCATGCCCGAGCCGGTCAAACGGTGACAACGGTCGGTGCCAAAGTTGCTGCTGCTGCTGCTGCTGTCGTTGTTGTCGATGTTGTCGTCGTCGTCATCGTTGGCGTACCATCTCCATCCAACCCCTCCCCCGTTGTTCGAAAACAAAATTTCCGTCGTCACGAAGCTGACCCACGACAAACCGGATGATTCCTGCAAGCCCAGCAAGCCATTCTCCACTTTTTCCGCGTGCATCGGCGAACAAGGCACCGGCGTTTCGGAACACAAAAACCCAACTCGAGACAGCAACGGCGGTGGCAGCCAGCCGTCGCAACGACTGTTTTACAGCTACCCTAGACCACGACGACCACCACCAAAATACAAATCGCACGACAACGAATTGACAGTGGGGGACAAGACAACCCCACCGGGATGAAAAAACGTCCCAATTCCTCTCAGGAGACCGTTGCGGTCTAGAAACGAGTGATCACGTTGAGCTCAAATACAATTCCGCGTTTGCGACGCCCGGTGGAAACGAGAGACAATCTAAAAAACAAAAAAAACGAAAACCTCTCTTGACAGGACCAGCACGCTTTGCCCGAGGAAAGCTGCGATACCCAACAAAAAACACGGCCCACACCAAAGGGGGGAGGCAGAACCCTCCACGCCGCCGCATCACCTGGTGTACGCCAGGGAGGTGTTGTACGTCCACTGCGCGAAGAACCACACCAGGGACACGCAGAGACCAGCCTTGAGCATGAAGAGGTGGCTCCGCATCCTCGGCTTCTCCGGAGAGCGATCTATAACGTACAACGTTTTTTTTTTCGTGCGGGGAGCGGCAACAACAAAAGAAGAGGCAGGGGCAAAGCGAGGGGCGAGCGGGCAAGCGGTCGCCACGGCGGCACAATACCGGGACGTCTGCGAGCGTTTCGTCTGACACATCGTCGTGCCATCCGACAGGCCGGGGCCCAACTCGAACGGGCCAACTCTCGCAACTACTGCTTGGCAAATTTTGTGGGTCAACCCGGAAAAAGAAGGTCCTCGGCGCGGCTCAGTGGCGAAGCGAAGGATGGGGCTAGCTAGCCCACCTGGGGGGTTGGAGCCGGGGGCCATGGTGATCTTTGCCTCATCATCGTCTTCCGGGCTAGCTAGCCCGCCTGGGGGGTTGCAGCCAGGGACAACGGTCATCTCTACCACCTCATCGTGTTCGGGGCTAGCTAGCCCACCTTGGGGGGTGCAGCCAGGGACAACGGTGATATCTGCCTCGTGGTCATCTTCCGTTTCTTCTCGTCCCGCCAGCTCTTTGTAAGCGGGCCCCCTGTCATCGCCCGCTGTTCCTGCTGTGGCGTTGGTTGGACGGGCAGCCGGACGGACGGACCATAAACAGGGAAAAGGCAGGGGGATGGCGCGTGCGCGCGCAAGCAAGTTACCGCTTGATCGTTCGAGATTGGAGTGCTTTCGGCTCGGTTGCTCTTGAGATGGCCGTGATATCCGTCCCGGCCGTAAACAAAAAAAGACAGGAGCTTGGACCAGGTAGTGTTTTTAAATAACAAGAGGACGAAGAGCGAAAAGCTGGTCACCTGTCCTGCGACTCAAGGCTTAACAGTCGGAATACTGCAAGAAAAGGAGCATGAACAAGTATGGCGGCAAGCCGCGACTCGCCTGCTCTATCCCGGAAGGGAGGGTTGTGAGCGAGGCCCACAAAGGTAAGGCCGAGGTACGAGGGGACGAGGAAGGTCATGACCGCGCTGCAGATGTAGGTGAAGACGAAGGGCTGGTTGTAGCCGATGTCGTCGGCGATGAACTGCACGATGATGCTACCGGCGGCCCACAGCACCGACACCTTCGTCGGGATTTCAAGAGGTAAAGTAGAGCAACCACACAGACACACACGAGCGAAATGAGAGCAAACGAGCAAACACACACATACACATTTTCTTCTGTTATTGCTACGGTATCTGTCTTTGATCCAGAGAGTAGCGCAGACTCCCCCATGACGCTCGGTCATGGGGTCCCAGATTGTGGCCTTTAGAAGTATTTTGCGTTTTCAACCGCACTCAGACTGACGTCGTTTCATTGGCCAGCCGGCTAGCGCGGTCGATGCAAACATGAAACACACACACACACACACACACACACACACACGCGCGCGAGCGGAAATTCGAGCAGTAATTCGCACACGCGCGCGTGGAGCAAAAAAAGACTGGAAAAATGGGAACCAAATCTCACATGCTCGTTCAAACATAACGGCAGGACTGGGGCTACCCAGACACCCACAACAAATGCGCTTTGCCCGCCGCCGCCCCAGATGCGGGAGAAATTCACGGCGGAACTAAAACCCGATGAAAACGTGGTAAAAGGTGAGTTTTGTAGAGCCACACTCAAGACCATCTCCGAAAGCCGCAATGCACCCGCTCCTCACTTCAGTGCTTCAGTGTTGTCTTCTTCTCGTCATTTTTTCTTTTTTTTCTACACACCGCCGTACTCACCAATATTATGAAGAAAATACCCAGCGCCCATTGCCGCTTCGATCGCTGTTCCACCGCCTCGCTCTCCGCCTCCTGCAATATCGGGTTCACCCTGTATGCGCCGGCTGCCTCATTCTCCGCTTCTCGTATCATCGGGTACGCCCGTAGGAGAGCCCCGGTAGCCGAGGGTGCTTTCCAGACCCGCCTGCCTCTCTCCTCGCAAGAGAGTCACGAGGTGATGATGCGCCCGTTCGTACCCGCTCTTGGGCGGGGATTGGGGACGGCCTACGATGCCGTCGGAGAGTCCTTGCGCCGTGCGAGGGACCACCTTTGTTGAATGATCGGCACGAGACGGCGGGGGAGGGAAGTGATCCGAGTTCAGCATCGCGGGTATTTCACGTCTACTGCTGTGCGGCCGTACGGCCGATTCCCTGTACCATTGTTGAGCACGCGCGTAGGTGGTCACAGCAACAGGCCCTTACCCTGCGAGACAGGCGTGAACTTGGGGGAGGCGGCGCTCGCGCGCGGGGCGGGGAGAGGGAGAAGGGGGGAAACTTAACCGCGATAAAAGCGTCTCTACCGAATCTTGGCATCTCGAAACCGACAGGATTCACCAACATCAAAAGACGCGCGTCCAAAATTCTGCCAGCACTGCCCCCATCGAACACACAGACATGAATTACAAGCAGTTGTGGATATGTCAGGGCTTGAACATTTGACCCAAGAGGTGGCCAGCTGTCAAAGGGATGTCAAAAGGTGAACGTGGTATGCGTACCATTATTTGCGGCTCCCGCCGCCGCGCTAAGCGATTCGGGGCTCAAGATACCCGTCATGCTGTGGGCGCTTGAAATGCGTCAACATGTTGCTACGTGTGTTAGGTGTGTCCGGGGTCATTGTTCAGTGACTACGCTGTACGCATGGGTGCCAGCTGATGGGGTGGGTGAAAGGACTCCGCCTATTTGACTTGGATTGCCTTGGTGGTTTATATGTATAGGACGGAATCAAAGCATTTGAGTAGGCAGCACTGACTAGTCTAAAATTATTCGATTCAGGCTTCTAAAGTGGCGAACCTTCCACGAAGAGTGTATCGATAATTGCTGAATTTCGTTCGCTCAAGAGGTCTCTCGCCCAACACAATCCTGGAGAGTGTCTGCCACGTCAAGGATACGTCACCGATGACATCACGACCAAAAAACAGCGTTGGCTTCAACCGACAACGTTGACCAATCTTTCGAGAATCCCCCCCCCCCACCCCCCCCCCCGGCCCCCCCCGGGGGTTTGCCTCGGGGGTGGGGTTTTCTCCCCTGGGGGCCCCGTTGTTTAACCGGCCCCCCCCCCCGGGGGTTGGCCTCCGGGGTGGGGTTTCTCCCCCTGGGCCCCGCCGTTTTAAACCAGCCCCCCCCCGGGGGTTGCCCTGGGGGTTGGGGTTTTCTCGCCTTTCCCCGCCGGTGGTAAACAAGCCCATTTCCTTTGGGGGCCCCGGCACCCGGGTTCCGGTTTTTTTTTTTCCCCCGTTGGTTTTTGGGGGGTACCCATATGGGGGG